TGAGGGCCTTAACGCCAGCAGAGTCACTGACACTAGAGCCAAGCCAATCGGTGTGATGGGCATTAAAGTCACCAACAACGACGATATTGGCCGATGGATAAAGAGAGAGGGCTTGGTCAATTTGATCAGAAATAACATCAAGAATAGTGCAGTCTTGGGATGAAGGAGAGCGATATAGAACAAAGAGAAAGGCGATAGAGTGAAGTTGTGCTAAACGAAAGCACATAAATGAATAGTCTGTAGATTCAAACCTAGTTTCACGACAAATGGGTGAGTTCTTACGAATGTAGATGCCCAGGCCAAGCATGTGATTATTGGAGTCTTTACGAATTAAAGGAAGATAACCATCAACACTAAGATCACAAGATGGGACAGCCGAACTCAAATTAGTCTCACAAAGAGCAAAGAGGTCTGGTGAACTTTGCAAGAGATAAGACTCAACAGAAGAAAAGTTACTTCGAAGACCACGAATATTAGTAAATGATAGGTTTAGAGAACTTGGTGATGACAATGGTTTTTTGTGTTTTTTAGTTTTAGGTACATTAGTCATTTTAAATTTATAAAGAACTTGACTCAAGTATAGATAGTACTCAGTACACTATTTAACAACTAAGCAATAGCCTCATTACTATTAATAAACCCTAAGCCGTAACAAAGGGCTCCAAATGTGGCCTCTGCAATGCACACCAAAAGTACAAACAGGGACACCATCCATGCGCAACATGGCACTGTTAGTACTCTGATATTTTTCGGCTGTTGATCACTGATCTCTATAATAACTGGATAGCGCATCTCTAATATCAAAATTGACGCCAAAATCGCCATATTGGAAAGCCCCAGAAAACTGAACGGAATTTGAAAATACAGAGATTGCGCTTGAAGATTTGTTATTGCTTTACTTACTACTTCTTTTACATTGACGAGATTAAAGTTGCATATTTCAATCATATTGTTATTTTTAAAATGTTTGAAAGTTTGAAAATTGAAAAAGTAAAAAAAAAAAAGCACGAACAAAATTAGAGTTGAATGAAAATAAAGAATATAGGAGAACAGACTGTTTAATAATTTGTATTTGTTTTGTATAAACTTGTTACCTTTATTAATCTTCTTATGTTCAATATGAAACTACTTTGCTGAAAGTCAAAATTAATATTTACTCTGGTTACTTTAGAATGTTTATTGTTACAACTTGATGCAATCTTACTTTATAATAGCAGTGAGAAAGTAACTTTATAAGTGTAAAACATAACAAAAAAATATTGTATCAAAGATTTTTTAAATGGTTTTAAATTTTCATAGTTTTTAAAAACTCAGGATATGTTGGTTTCTTTCGCAACTGCAAAAGTAATATCATCGACTTTCATATAGTAGATTGAAATTGATAATCATACACTACCAAGTGTTATTTCTGCTGCGTCACAAACTTTTATCCCACTTATAAAAAGTACGAAAAGCTTTAACTTATATAACTACTAAGTTTATATGTTGTTACTAAGTTCTTTTTCTGCTATTTTGGTGACATACGTTACAAGATATTTAAGCGTTTATTGTTTTTCATCAATCAAAGTATGAAAGATATAGAGACACATGTAGTTTTATGAAAGTAATTATTATTTCAACTTACATTTATCAGTTGTATCCTGATAATTAATGGTTGAATAATAATAAATCTTGTAAAATATTGTACTCAAAAACAAAAGAGAAAATAAAAGAAATACAGGTATAATTATTGTTTAATTTTTTAAATTATGTTAGGTTATTCTAGAGCATTTTGCAAGTACAGAGTACTCAATGTTATTAAGAACAGCAATAATAAAATAGTTAAAACACTTATCTAATTTTTGTCTTCAACATCAAAAACTCATCTAACCAAGAAAAAAGATTTCTTACTGGTTAGATGAGTTTTTTTACTAATATATATATATATATATATATATATATATATATATATATATATATATATATATATATATATATATATATATATATATATATATATAAATATATATATATATATATATATATATATATATATATATATATATATATATATATATATATATATATATAAATATATATATATATATATATATATATATATATATATATATATATATATAAATATATATATATATATATATATATATATATATATATATATATATATATATATATATATATATATATATACTATACTATTATTATTATTATTATTATTATTATTATTATTATTATTATTATTATTATTATTATTATAAATATATTTCAGACAACAGGCAGATACAATTTAGGTGCCAGGTCCATAGTTTTTACAAGAAAAATATTTTTTTAAACTTTGATTAAGAGAACACATGGAATTATTTACTAAGAAACAAGCCATCAACTTTTTACAAGAAGCATGTCTGTAGTTCGAGATAATTGTATAAAGAGATGGTAATCTGTACTCTAAAAGCATGAGATCATACTTGTTGTAGCCAAAAAACATTTTAGCACATTTGTTTGTAGCAATAATGAAGGTGTGCCATTGTTTTATCATTATAATTTTGCTGCAGAGGAGCAGCATATAAACAAATGTAATATGATTTAAACAATTTGACCTTTACTCTGGTAGAGCATAAATGAAAGTGTCTAGTTAAAATATTTGTACATGTGTAAAGACCCTTCATCTCCTTGGTTATATCAAGATCATCAGTTAGGTCATTTTTAATTATATGGCCAAGTTATTTAAAAGATTCAACAAAAACAATTTTACAGCCTGATATGCATAATTCTGGGAAGGAGTTTGATATAATTTTTGAGTTGGATTAAACACCATACATACAGTTTTCTTTGTGTTAAAGAATATGTTAATTAAGGAAGATTCCTTATTTGTAAAGCTAATTAGTTTTTGAAGAGAATACCAAGATGGTGCAATTAAAACCATATCATCAGCATAAGCCACCTATATTACATCCAATACGTAGTTTTGAGATTAATAAAATCATATTCTGTATTTAAAAGTTAAATAGAAGTGGGGACAACTCTAAAACTATTTGATTTTGTTTTTTGCCATCGAACAAACATTTGTTGATTACTATACCAAAATGTAAGCAAACTAACAAGTTTTTTGGGTAACCCATTATCTAGTAATTTCTGAAACAACAGCCAGTAATTGTTTTATTAAAATGTTTTATTAAAGTGTATATATATATATATATATATATATATATATATATATATATATATATATATATATATATATATATATATATATATATATATATATATATATATATATATACAATTACTATTTGCTGTCTAAGAAACCTTCGGGTTGAGTTACACTAACATAGCTCAACTAATGATTCATACAACAATGAATAAGCTGTTTACTTTGCAAATATGTTACAAGCCTCAGGCATTTTGCACCGGGTAATTAAAAATCAAAAGGTGCATACTGATATACATTCGTATCTATCTATTTGTATTATATATATATATATATATATATATATATATATATATATATATATATATATATATATATATATATATATATATATATATATATATATATATATATATATATATAATCACTATTTACTGCCTAAGGAACCTTTGGGTTGTGTTACACTCACATAGCCCAACTAATGATTCATACAACAATGTGTAAGCTGTTTACTTTGCAAATATGTTACAAGCCTCAGGCATTTAGTCGAAAAACTAAGCCAAACGCTTACTTTAAGGTTTTTTTAAAATGAAAATAATAAATAAATTTTTTAAACGGCTTACTTATTTTTAAAAAGGCTTACTTATTCAAATATCTGGGGCTTTCCAATATGGCGATTTTGGCGTCAAAAAATTCAAAATTTTGTTCAGAGTTGCGCTATCCAGTTATTATAGAGATCAGTGCTGTTGATGGAATCAGCCTCTCTGAGAGCTACCACAGAGTTCGGGAAACCTGACTACCAGCCGGCCTCAGAACCATAAAACTGAGTTTTAGAGCTGTACCCTCATTAGGAGATAATAGAATGAGTTGCCCAGTCATAAAAATAGAGACACAAGCAATACCCACGCATTGAGTCAAGAAGATCCAGCGTTCAACATCCTAAACTGGAAACAATGTATTAAAAATACATCTGCGCCAGCCTAATAGATGAGGAAGGGGTGCGAGGCTGGTCAACAGATAGAATCTGTTTACCCCTTAAGTCTTTGCCTAGGAGGCCTTCTACAAGACAGCAGCTGGATGCATGTAACATCTGCCCAAGATGAGTATTTTTATCGAGACACCATCTCTAGCCTTTACTCAACCAAGAGCCCCAAGGCAGGGGGTGTTTTAATTCGGAGTTAACTTCTCCTAGCCTTTGCCTAAAAAAGCGTATCCTACAAGGCAGCAGGACATGGAGCAGGTTGTACTGGGTTACATGTAACCAGTAGCAGGAAAACCTGACCTGACCTAAACCTATATATATATATATATATATATATATATATATATATATATATATATATATATATATATATATATATATATATATATATATATATATATATATATATATATATATATATATATATATATATATATATATATATATATATATATATATATATATATATATATATATATATATATATATATATATATATATATATATATGTATTATATATATATATATATATATATATATATATATATATATATATATATATATATATATATATATATATATATATATATATATATATATATATATATATATATATATATATATATATATATATATATATTATATGCACTTATATTTCATATTTGTTAATATGTCAATGAAGAAAATCAGGAAGTATAACTCCATCTTAAATTAAAATAGTTGTTGATTAATCAAGGTCATTGAAATGGTAATAAACAGAAAGTGTTTGTTTAAAAATATATAAAATTCAAAAAATGTATGGATTATGAAAATGAGTTTTTACTTAAGGACTTACTCAAGTAAGTAAATTATTAAATTGACATTTTTCAGGGTTTGAATTTGATGTTGGTATTCACTATGTCGGTGAGGTTGAAGGAAATACTTTGATGAAAATCTATATTGATCAAATCACAGAAGGACAACTTAAGTGGGCTCCTGTTAATGATGTTATTGATTTGGTGGAGTTTAATCAAATAAATGGCAAAAGAAAAACTCACAAGTTTCTCAAAGGCAGTGCATGGAAAGAAGAATTGATGCGAACTTTTCCAAATGAACACGATGCCATCAATAAGTTTTTTGATGCTATGAAGGTTTGATTTTTACAGTTCAAAAATTTGATTATTTTTTCAACTTTTTTTTTAGTAGTGTTTTATTTTAAATTATTTAGCTAAATTAAAAAATTCTTTTCGTTTTTTTTATAGATAGCAAGACAGATATATTCCCAGACCTTTATTATAAAAATGTTACCAATTTGGATTGTCATGATTTTAATTAAAACTGGCATATTTCACTTATTATCGCATCTTCCTAATTTTTGTTCAAAGTCATTGGACGTATTTTTAAGTGAACTTACAACAAATGCGGAGCTAAAAGCAGTGTTGTCTTATTCATTTGGAGATTACGGTATGATTATTAATAGTTTTTCTTTTAAAACAAAAGTTTTAAATAATAACAATAATTTGGATTTCTAAAATGTATTTTTAGGTATTTTCATAAATTAATTAATGTTATTTATTTTTGGCTGAAGGAACACAACCACGGGAAAGCCCAATGATAATGCAATTAATTTTAATGCAGCACTTTATAAATGGTGCATTCTACCCTGTTGGCGGAGCGAGTGAAATTGCTTTTAACATAATTCCAGTTATTGAGAAAACAGGTGGCAAAGTACTAACTAAAGCTAACGCTGTAGGCTTTGTAATCGAAGATGGAAAAGTTACAGGTATGTATTACTTTTTTCTTTTTTAATGTCATGGTCAAAGAAAATAATATTTAATGTCATGGTCAAAGAAACCACTGTTTTAACTATTTTTTGACATACATTCTTGTTGATAATTTAATGTAAGTTAAAAACAGTCATAGCTACATCTTCAGCTATAATAGTTTAATCATTGTTTTCAAAAAATAATTTACAAAAAACATTCTTGAAATTTAAAAGATGTGTTTTTTTAACACTATAGTTATTGATTTGCTTTTTAAAATTTTTTTTTAGTTATTTTTGGTTATAAGCTATAATTTCGGAATTAAATTAGTTATAAGCTATAACTATAAAATTTAATTCCTAAGTTATTTTATTAATAACTACTGTTATCTTTCTTAGTTATAATTTCTAAGTTTTTGTAGTTTAAAAAAATGTTGATTTTATTTACAGAGAATTGTTTTTAAAACCTTTGGTTTAAAGTTATATACAAATTTTTCAAATTGTTTAACTTGTTAACTTAAAAATAAATTCAGCATTTTTTTGTCTAAATTTTTATTTTCTTATTATTTTTGCTGTTCAAAGGTTTTTTATGATATACCATAGGGTAAGGTTGCCAGATGTCCGGTATTTTGGAGGAGAAAACAATGCCGATCTTTAAAAAATAAATTTTTTTACTGTGTTCTCCGCCATTAAAGCCGGACATCTGACAAGCCTACCTTGGGGCAGCTTCAGTGGTGATGTTTCCAGTTGCAATTTGTCACCCCTCTTCCTTTTTAAATTTTTCAAACTTTGTCTTTGCATACACTTATCAACTAGAGAGTTTATATAGTAGTTATTATTAACTAAAATTTTTTGGATTTAATAAAAAAGAAATTAGTATTGAGAAAATTCGTATTCATTGATGTTCACACATTAATAAATGTAATATATATATATATATATATATATATATATATATATATATATATATATATATATATATATATATATATATATATATATATACATATATATATATATATATATATATATATATATATATATATATATATATATATATATATATATATATATATATATATATATATATATATATATATATATATATATATATATATATATATATATATATATATATATATATATATAATTGTTTACAAATATTAACAATTTGTATATAAAATTAACAATCGTTATTCATTCCCTAGCGGATTATAAAATGTGCTTCAAAGCAAGCACATAAAGTCATTTGTCATTATTTCAAAAAATTGTCATTATTTCAAATACAAAACTCTATTTGCTCTCTAGCGGCTTGTAAAACGTAACGCAATGCAAACACATAAAATCATTATTGCAAATAAATGTGCGGCCGTGGCGCAGTGGTTAGAGCACTTGCTTTTAAAGCAGAAGATCCAGGTTCGAAACAAGCTTTGGTCATATTTTGCGTCACGGTAAGGAAGGAGGCATGAACTTCCTGGTTAAATGTACTTCCGCGGTGCTCTGTGGCAAGACCATTAGGACTTCTTGGGACACCTATTATAACAAATTAAAATACGAAACGTTATTTGATCCAAAAAGGCTTGAAGAAATTATTTTAAACAGCTTGTGCTGACAGAAGCAAAACCATTACTTTAATTGTGGTGTAAACAATACTGATAAATCAATAATACAAATATAGATAAAGTAGTGAATCTGATTATACATCAAGAGAACGATAACTTTTTAGTTTGTGGGGAGAATTCACTACCTATTGTTTCAATCGAAGATCACTTTAACAACCCATGGGAAGATAATGAGTGATTGAATTTTTATTATAGATATGGAATAAAATTTGCTTATTTTTATTAGTTTGTTTATTATTTGATGAGGTATCAACTTTCTACAATATAATTTGTTGAGATCTACTATTATATAAATGTATTATTTAACAAGAAAAAAATAATTGATGTTTACGCATATTTTTAATGTTGCTTTAGGAAGGAAGAGATGCAAAAACTGATATCATATATTAAGGGGGTTGGCTGAAAATTGACAAAGTTTATAAGACAGCCTATAGCCGTCTGTACTAACAGGCCTCGTAAACGCGTATATAAAGGCCTGGCACTGGGGCCAACAATATTTTAATGTTATTTTGTTTAATAACTGCAAGCAACTTCTTTACTAATTTTTAATCAAAGTACAACTACTATCTAGTTTCTAGATACAAAAAATGCCTAAAAAATGTTAAGTGACAAACTGTAATGGTAATTACAATAAGGAAAATAAAATAAAATTTTTCCGGCTTCCTCATGAAAAAGAAGAATATACTCGTTGGGTGAATGCTATACCACGAGACAATACAGTTGTTGAATATCAATATGGCATTTTCCATATTGATATTCAACAATTACCTAATTTGGCCATGAAAGATCTCGTAATCCTCCATCAGTTTTTACATATATCAAACCTAGTTTAATACCTACTCTTCCACCTCCATTAAGATCAACTTTTAAAATTTGTCTGTAACATTATGCCCAACAAACTTGATATATATTTAGCTGCTGATAAAATTACACCCTTTAGCTCATTACATCAGATGTTATAAAATTGATTTCGGTACAGTCAATGTAACTTGGTGTTTAGCTGGTGAACAGTTGCTGATTGTTCAGTCTTTGAAGAAAACTATTTAATTGTCAAATTTATGCTTAAGATCAAGAATTTTCTTACTTTTGAGGGATATTTTTCTGGTTTTTTTATCTAAAAACAGAATTTTCATAATCAATTCTTGCTTAAAATTGCAAAAAACTATTGATTTTAAAATAATTTAACAAAATACCAATAAAATAGTAAATCTTTTGCAACGCATCAATGATATGAGTTCTATTACAGTTTAGAGAAAAATAAAACAGAAACTATTCTACGAGCATTTGAATACTTTGCAATATCCAGATCATTATAGTATCAAGCACTATTTAAAATGTTTGAATATGTTGATTAGTTTCAACATATTCAAACATGTTGAAATGTTTGAATATGTTGAAACTAAATATGCATGTTGGTCTAATATTTTATGTTTGTTCAGACTTTAAGAAAATAATGTTGTAAAATTGTCTAAACTTACAAGTGTGTCTGTTGCACAGAAACCTATTAAAAGACAGTTTCAATATGACTTGTAGATAAGTAGACACAAGTGTCTACTTGCCTGTGATGAAACTCTGCTTTAAAATGTAACATTAATATAAAAGAAGCAGATGACACCATAGCTTTTATTGAAATATTTGTGAAGTTCTGGAAAATAGTCAATACAAAAGGACGGTATGCTGATATTCAATATAAAGATCCAGATAGAGCAGTTATATGAACTTTAGAATATGCAAGAATATTATCTATACTCAGTCTTGCAACAATGGCAGAACAAATGACTAACAAAACAAGGCAGCAGACAATATCAGTTCACCAGAGATACAGGTGCAGCCTAAGCTCATATGTGTTGTGGTTTAGTAGCCCTTACAAAAATTTTTTGTTCAGAAATCTTTTAATTATGTAATACTGAAAAATTTACAACTGTTTCACTAGAAAAATTGTTTATTAAAAAAACTCCGACAAGGATCGGGAGGCACATATTTTATCAATGTGCAACAAGTTATTGAAAAAGTAAGAATTCAACAAGCAAAACTAAGTCTCAATATCGGTATAGACATTGATTTTTTATCTGCAGAAAGTGGACATATCTGCCAGAAATGTGTATACTTTCTTAGCAGTAATGCTATTGATATATTTGACAATTTGCCTGAGCTAGAAAAGAGTGCTGTTTTTTGTATCTTTTTTTATCAATGTGCAACAATGACTTGTTGCATAATAATAAAATAGATACAAAAAGCAGGATTAGTATATAAAGCTGGATATTTTGTGCGAAATGAAGTTGATGAACGAGAAGAAGCTAAATTTTTGTGAAGAATTTGGCGATTAAACTGCTAAAATTAATCGTGAGGTTTGAAAATACCAAATGATAATGTTTGTCAGTGGAACATATTTTCTAATATTTTGTTTCATGAAATTGTTAATAATGCGTGCTGAAAGTAACTCTGCATTATTTTAATCTTAATATCAGAGTTTTTTTTAAAAAGGTTATTAATATTTTTTGAAATTTTTTTCAAAAATGACAATCTTTGTCCAAATGACAATGTTTGTCAGTTAATATCAAAGTCTTTTAACTTTAATATAGAAAAAAAACATGCTATTTCACTTTCAAACATTTTTTTTAAAACTATGTTAATTTATACACACTAAGGTCGTTTAAAGAGTCACAACAAAATATCTTAAAGCTTCCAAAAGTAAACCTATTATGTGTGTTTTTTTTTTTTACTTATAAATAATAACTCTAATGTTACTTATATTTTCTGTTTATTTAATGATTTTGGTAAAAAATTTAGTATTTTATTCTTCATCTGAAATATATGAAACATTTTAAAAACTTTGTTTCAAATTTTATTACTAAATATGTTCGATTTACGGTTTTTTTGAAACTTCAGCATTTTAAAATACACTATATAATATATTTTTTTGTCTCCTCTGATTGTTTGATTTTGTGAAAGATTTTGCATCTTATAAATAAGAAAAGTTTCGTTTTTATAGACAAAGTTTTATAGCTAAGAAATTTTTTTTTATTTTCTAGGAAGCTTGTTATAAATAAATAGGTTTTAATTATTAAGTAAATTAAATAGATTAGCTATAGTTCACTCACACCAAATGGAAACACTTTTTTTACAAGCAAATGTTCATGCTACACTTAACTTTTTCTTAGTTGTTGTTGTTTTTTATTAGCCCCCAGCCCCAGGCTCCTATTTACGCGTTTAGGAAGCCTTCTTGCATGTTTTACCTATTTGTCAGTCAATGTAGCAACACTCTTCACATGTTCTACCTGTTTGTCAGTCGATGTAGCAACACTCCTTGCATGTTAATTAAAATTAAAATACGTTCATTAGACATCTTTTTTACAAGCAGTTCAATTTCGAAACTATACTGTTATCCTTGTTTTCGATAATGATCTACATAATTTTGAAATAAATAGTTTTCGACATAAATCAAAAAATAATAATTTCGATCTAAATCATTAAAATGAGTTTCCGTCAGTTTTTTTTTTCCGATCATTTATCTCATCTTTATGTCAGACTTTTTTTTTTTTGACTGCCATCTAAGCTTTATTGATGTTTTTTTTTTTTTTATTATTTTTTTAGAAAAAATTACAGTTGGAATTTATTTACCTTATTTTAAAAATATTTTAACAAAGAACACCTGACAGATTGTTATCGCATAAAAGTATTGTTTAAGGACATATGGTGAGGTTTATTAGCTGATCTTTAGGTCCATTTAACCTCATTATGAATGCTTTTTTTACTTTGATCTAGTTTTTTCTAATGCAATGTTTCTACATTTTCCCAAAAGGCTATGGTACATCTATTTTTCTCCAATAAAAACAGGTAATTGAAATTTTACATTTTCTTCTCTCCATTGAACAAGAACTAGTGGAGCAAGTTTACTGGCAAGATCTCTATTAAATTACCTATTTTAGTGTAGATAACATGTTATGTTTTTTTTTTCTCCTTTAACAAATTTCTTGTTTGAACAACTGCTCTGTTTGTTGGCAACTCACTAAAAACCTATTCTAAGCCGGTAAACTGGGAAATGGTTGGTAAGGATGAATGTCTAACCTTAGTCTTTGACATAACTTTAAAAAAGCACTGAAGATTAAAATAACCGCATCATATATCTTTACGGTGGAGAACAAAGTCAAAGTCTTTTTTAAATTTGAATTGGCATTGAGCTTCTAATTAGAGTTGATAAAGACGTAAATGTTTTTTTTTTACGTATTTGTTTTTTTTTACGCATATTTTTTTTTATTTCATTTTTATAATATTTAAATGTGTATTAAGACGTTTTTTGATTTAAAAGATTTATCATTTATCATATATTTTACCTTTTTCAAACTTTTTACTTTCTTTCAAAAAACATCGATTTTGCTAATGTACATTTTAAAAAACATCGATTTTGCTAATCGCTAGTAAACTTTCTTTTTATTATTAAATTTAAATTTATTTATTAAATTTTTATCTTTGAACATGCTTACCAAATTCTTTTTAACTTAAGAAGTGGAATCCTTTTAACTTTATATGTATAGTTATTTTTTTCATAAACTTTATTTCAATATACTTTTCATAAACTTTTAGAGTTAAATGGCGCACATAAAAATTTAGTTATTAGTAAATTCAAAACTAACAGATATGTTTTCTATTTTATACAGGTGTTAAAATTGATGGGAAAAGTGAACCAATACACGCTCCAATTATTGTATCGGCAATCGGATTTATTAACACTTTATCAAAACTGCCAGAAACTTATAAACTTGGTTTTACTGATGTTTTACCAAAGGTAAAGAGTAGTCATGGTGCTATATCTATCTTTGTCGGATTGGACGGCTCAAATGAGGAGTTGAATCTTCAAGCAACTAATACTTGGGCATTTACAAACACAGATTTTGATAAATCTCTTGATGAATATTTTGCGCTTCCAAAGGAGCGCGCTGGTCTAAAAGATATTCCTTTGCTATTTATTTCTTTTCCGTCTTCAAAAGATCCATCTTGGAACGAAAGATACCCGGGCAAGTCTAATTGCACAATAGTTACTCTTGCAAACTGGGAGTGGTTTGGCCAATGGGAAAATGAAAAGAAAAGAAAAAGAGGCAAAGAGTATGAAGAAATTAAAATGCGTATTGCGGAGCGTTGTTGGGAACAAACACTATTATATTACCCACAACTACGTAATAGAAGAATTTATTTTGAAGTTGGAACGCCAGTAACAAATAAATATTATCTCGGGTCAAATAAGGGAGAAATTTACGGTTTAGATCACTCCCTTGATAGGTTTAGTCTCGAAATTATTGCAAAACTTCGACCTTGCACTAAAATTCCTGGTTTATTTTTGACTGGTCAAGACATAGCTACAGCGGGTTTTGCAGGAGCTATTCATGGTGGTTTGTTAACAGCATCTGCAATTCTTAATCGAAATTTAGAAAAAGATTTAATTGAAATTCAAAAGGAAATAGAAAGCTCTTGCAAAAAAAATTACTAAAATTTTAGATTTTTTTAAAACTCAATAAAAGCCATCTAAGATTTTGTTAAAGCTCCGTCCAAAATGTCTTTAATTTTAGCAAACTCCAACTCAGTGGTCACAAAGCATGTTATATACTTCTAAAACACGTATTAATACGATTTCTTAAATGTTTTAGACGTCTTAAACACGTCTTGTGCCCATTGGGAAGCAACTACCTGAAGTTTCATTAAGATAAAATAAATGTTAGATTGTGGTTATAAAATATTAGTTACGTATTTAAAGGCTTTGTATATTTGGTGTTTGTTTTTTTAATGCTTGTAAATCTTGAGGGCACGTGCGTAAATTATAAAACTTTTTCAACATATTTCTATATATAAACACGTTGTTGTTTGTTCATCAAAAAACTATTGAGCCATGTTAAAGCGACATTTTTAGCCCATACTTTTTTATCTTTTGAAGAAAGATTGTGTAATCTACGGTTACAAATGCTTTTGAAAGTCAACAAAATTATATAAGTACAGAGGTGCGCAGGATATCGCATAAAAAAAAAATTTAATCTGTAAAAAACCTTTTGTGTTACATCACTGAAAATTTGATCACAGAAAAATAAAACATTAATCTACATAAAAAGTTTAATGTTGTTCAATATAGCCTCCTTTGAAATCTACTATACCTTCAGATGCACAGGCACTGCATCATAGCTTCGTCGCACCATGTCCGGACTTACTTCTGCTTTTAGAGCTCCTAAATTTGATTGAAGCCCTAAAATAAATTGGGTTCATATCTGGGTTAGAAGGGGGCTACATGTCTGGCGACCACTAATGAGGACTATTCTAATGGAGAAAGGCCACGGTTTTCTTGGCACTGTAAGCAGGTGCATAATCTTGCATAAAGAACCATGGATCATTAACTTCTTCTTTGCCCAAGGCAACAAGTTAGCTTTTATAAAGTCAACATATGTTGTTTGGTTCACCTTGACACCTTCGGGAGCAAAGGCAAGTGGAATTTTGAATTCATCTGAACAATCACCACCCCATACCAACACTTCTATAGGGTGTTGTCTTCTCGGTACCACCCCATACCATCACTTTTATAGGGTGTTGTCTTCTCGGTATTGTCCGAATTTTAAATGGAACTGTTCTTCTAGACTTTTCTAGAACTCTGTCGTTGTATCTGTTGGGCTCAGGCTCAATTGTGAAGATTTTTTTGTCACTGTTTGACAACTGGAACACTTGGGTAGGTTTTGAACCATTTTAGAAACTGATTTGCTCTGTTTTGTCAATTAGCTCTTGTAGCCTCACTCAAAAGTTGTCTATTTGACTTTACAAAGCTCTTCATTCCTAAGTCTTCATGGGCAACTCGTTGCAGTGATCTTCTTGACACAAGTCTCTCTAGCTAAGCTAGATATTGATCAATTTTGATTTTGTCGCACTTTTTTAACAGAATTTCGAAGTTACTTAGTTCTTAAGAACCAGCTTCCGATAAACATTTGAATTATGAAGTTGTCCTTTCACTACTTTGCAAATTTTGCTTTTCTTTATACTTGCCTTCCAGAGTAAAAAAAAAAGTTTTCTTACTTTTTCTTTTTCCAGGTGATTCACTCGACCCATTTTTTTAATTAAATTTTAAAAACCGCAAATGTTTTTAATTAATCAGTTAAGCCGTCGCGACGACTTAACTGATTAATTAAAAACATTTGTAAATTTAGGGAGTAATTTAAAATATTTGTAAATTTAGGGAAAACAAACGACGCGTCGTTTATTTTCCCTAAATTTACGAATATTTTGAACGCAAAATTTAAATTGTTATTTTTTTATGCAATAACCTGAGCACCCCCAATACCAATTTTTTCTTTCAAAAGAGTCATTTATGTTATTGAAAAGATCTAGGGTTACAATACCAGTAAAACCAATTTACAGTTAATTTTATCAAAATACATTAGTTTGTTACAGGTAAATAAATCGATTTTTTATAATAAATCGATAAATTATTTTCAAAAGTTTAAGAAAATACAATCATTCTTCGAGTAAGAAATCAACATACTGATCCATCCAATAAAGGTATTACTCATAAAAAAACTGCAAAACTTTGCAAGTGGATTTTTGAACATTTTTTAAAAATTAAAATAATTTAAGCATTGGTTTAACAAAAAGTCTTTCTATATTAAATTGTTTTTAAAAAAGAGCACCTTAGTTTAATAAAAGTCTATTGGAAATAATTAAGGCAAAAAAAGTTTTATGGATAAAATGTAGAAATGCAAAATTTAGAGATCAAGAACTTGAGGCGAAATATAAAAAAATATAAAAAACACAACGAAAAAGGCTATTAAAAATGAAATTGTTAAATATGAGCACACAATAGCGAAAAATGCTAAGAAGAATCCCAAAATAGTTTACCAATATATGAATAATATATTTTGGGATAAACTAAAGATTATATTTGAGTTATTGAGAGTAACAATGGAATAGTTACTACCAACCTTTCTGAGATTGCTAACGAACTAAACAATTTTTTCAGCTCAGTTTTTACTATTGAAAATAGAAACCTCCCAGAGTTTCCAAAACAGTGAGATGTTTTATGCCCGAATCCTACATTCGATATTGAAACAGTTAGTAAGAAGCTTGCAACTCTGAATGTTTATAAATTAACTTGAGTAGACACAATACACACTAGAGTTTTTAAAAAAATGTTGCAAAAGTGTTTCAAAACCACTATCAATTATTTTTTATCGCTCATTTTTGAGTAGCATTGTTCCATGTTTATGGTTATGTGCAAATATTACCCCTGTGTTTAAAAAAGGAGATAAATTAAAAGTAACAAATTATAGGCCGGTATCACTCACATCAATAGTGTGCAAAGTGATAGAAAGCATAATAAGAGACACGCTAATGAATCATCTGACTAAAAATAGTATACTCTCTGACTCTCAACATGGTTTTGTATCATCCAAAAGTTGTTGCACAAATTTACTTGAAACATTTGACATAATAACTCAGGCACTTGAGAAAAATTTATCAGTAGATATAGTTTTTTTAGACTTTGCCAAAGCCTTTGACTCAGTTGCACATAAGAGACTATTATTAAAACTACAATCCTATGGGATCCAAGAATAATTATTACGTTGGTTTAAAAGTTTTCTAAGCAGATGAACACAAAGAGTGATTCTCGGTGAGATAACCTCTGAGTGGAAAAAAGTAATAAGTGGAGTACCACAAGGATCAGTCATTGGACCCTTTTTATTTGTCATATATATAAATGATTTAACAAGTGAGATAACTAATCATTGCAAATTATATGCAGATGACACAAAAATTATTTCAGTCATTAATACAGTCGAAGACAGTCGAACGTTACAGCAAGACTTATGTAAGCTGGTTGAATGGAGTGAAAAATGGCAAATCAACTTCAATAAAAAAAATGCAAAATTATGCATTTTGGCAAAAGAAATTTAAGATATAATTACTTAATGTGTAGTACATTCGATATGATTCAGCAAAATGCTTTAGTTATGGAAGAAACCACGTTAGAGAGTGATCTTGGTGTAATGATATCAAACGACGTCAAATGAGAAAAGCATATCAACACAATTGCGGCAAGAGCTAATAGAAGGCTCGGTCAGATAAAGAAATCTTTTTGTCGATTAGATCAAATTTCGATGAAACATTTGTACACGTCATTGGTTCGTCCAGACTTGGAGTTTGCGGTGCCGGTATGGAACCCTTAATACCAAAAGGATATTGATAAAATTGAAATAATATAACTTAGGGCTACACAAATAAATAGTTTAAGAAGCTTTTGCTATGAAGATAGACTAAAAAAATTTAACTTGACTACTTAAAAAAAAAAGAAGAAAAAGAGGCGATTTGAATCAATTTTATAAAATAAGTAAAAATGTGGATAAAGTTAAATGAAATCATCCTCCTAAAATAATTAAACGTTCTACCACAAGATTTAACTTCCTTACAAACAGAATAGTTAACGATTGGAATAATTTAACAGAGGAGATAATTAATTCTAAAAATGTGAACATCTTCAAAAACAAGTTTGATCGTTTCGAAAAAAACAAAATAAAAATATAAAACAATCAAACAAAAAAAAGATTATAAAATATAAAAAGAAAAAACACTTTTGCAACGGCTGTCAAAGTTTTAACATCTACAGATAATAGACTCACACATTGTATGTGTACAGCAAAAGTTTTATTATTATTACTATTGTTATTATTACTATTATTTATATTATTATTATTATTAAGAATGAGTCAAAACAATTATTACTGTTCAAGGACCTTAATATATCCGACTTAAAATATTTATTTTAAAGTATGCTCAATCAACTGTAAACAGATTTCAATGAAATTCAAGTGATATTCAAAATTCATCTAGTGATTATGTTAATTATGAAATTTTATTTTAGTATTACAACTTTTTTATTTAAGAAATATTCCTTAAACATTTTAGTAATTGTAAACATTTTAAGACTTTTTAATTATTTTTTAATTCTTTATTTTCTTAGTTATTCTCAATTTCATTTCGAAATATTTTTTATTAAAATTTTTTAATTAAAATATTTTATTTATTTTTAATCTAAATATTTATATATATATTTGCATATTACGGTTTACGGAATTTTTAATATGGGGCTTGGCGATAAGGCAAAATACTTTTTTCTTTCATTATTTAATAATGAGAGAAAAGATTGCTGCCCCATACCAATCCTTCAGTTGATGTTGATAAAAGGTGTTTATAAACTGGTTCAACGTCTAGTTCTTTTGCAAGCTCTTTAGTGTCTGTAATGCAACTGCAGAAGCTATTATCACAAAAATCTGCCAAAAATATTAGTGTCTTCTTTGTTAATTAATTCGTCATTTTTAGATCTGAATCTTATGCTTGCATCATTTTGCTAATTACGTTAGTACGAAAAAGGATCTCATACCAGACAATTAGTGAAACTAGGAAAATAAAACTTTTCAATTAATTTCTAAGCGTTTCAGCTTCGTTTCGGCAATTGGCAGGAAAAGAATTGCTACTAATTATTTCATATCATACGTCGTATATCTCTCCTACCTAGTAACGTAATGCTTTAACGCTGTTTATACGTGCTTCCCACCGAGTGTCTGAAAGTGACTTTAGAGTTAAACCTTTTTTTTTGAAGATGATTTTTAAGAGTGTTCCATTGCTTTGTAGACGTAGAAAAGAAGGTATACAAATTCTGAATAAAACCAAAAAAACACACTGAAGTAACTAAAGATTTTGCAGCATCAGATAAAATTAAATTCAAATTATGACATGCACAGGGAACAAAAAAGCCAAAGGGTTTAGACTAGAAATTCTTGCTTGAACACCAAAATAGCGATCATTCATGTTTGCTCCGTTATCGAAACCGTGACTTCGACAATTTTGCATGAGCTTACAAAACATGTGTTATGTGAGCTCCTGTTTGACAGTCAACAGGAAAAAACAAAATAAAATGTTCTTTTATACCAACTTCTGATTCTAACTGAACAAAACGAATAGTCAACAATATTTGCACAGTGTGAGAAAGGTCCGGTGTGAGAAAGGTCCGGTGTGCAGTCTAGAATAAACAAAAAGTATTTTGTTTTCTTGCACTGCATAATAATTTCATCTTTAATTAAATCAGCCAGAAGATTAATCATTTCATTTTGAATATTTTTACCAAGAAAACTAACAAAAATTTCTTCTGATTTGATTCGCCTGATGTGCTCCTGCAAAACCGTATCATATTTAGCCAGAAGTTTAACTAGTCCCAAAAAATTTATTTGTATGCTCTAGCTTTTCAATTAACCCACGAAAAGCTATGTTTCTTTCAGCTAAGAAATGTGTAACTGAAAAAAATCTTTCTAACACAGCTGCCCATCGTTTGCCACTCTGTATCAAGTAATATCTTTAAGATAATTGAATCCATCCTTACTAATTTTAGTATAAAATTTGTCCTCGATGGATAGCACTCTTCTTCATATCCTGTAATTTCAGGGGTTCTTTAAGGTTCTATCTATGGCCCAATACTCTTTTTAATTTACATTAACGATCTTCCAGAAATTATCACATCTAAGGTAGCATTGTTTGCTGATGATACAACCATTTATTCTTGTCTTGATAAAAAGCCAACACTCTCTGATTGCTTGGAGGAGGCATTTAAGCTTGAAAAGGTTCTCACTCCTATTACAGCATGGGGCTCTCAGTGGCTAGTAAACTTTAACTCATATAAAACTTTATGAACGGTAATGTACTAGATGAGTCGTAAAAAATAAATAACAACCATTCTAATAAGTAATTATTTTCCTGACTTATAAATAAAAGAAACTTGCATTATTTTGCAGTAGTAGTGAATATTTTGTATATAAATAACAACTAACAAAAACTTCAATTACTATAAATCAGACAAGCAAATTGTAGGTGTCTAATAACTGAAAAACATATATTTAAAAAATGTTTTTACACATATTTTTTTTTAAAAAAAGCTTATTTAGTACAGCTTAGCAACGGTTACTTCTCTCAAAAAAAAATTCCTTTTCAAGATTTAAACCTTAACTTGCTTCATAATTTCTTTATCTGTAAGTTACTTTGAACCTAAAAAAAACCTTTAACTTTTAGCACTTTATATTTCACTTTATCAGTTTGTTTAGGATTAAGGGGCAACATTTTTTTTTTTTTTTCATCTTGCAATTGTTTATGTAAATAATAATTTATCAAACTGCTTTAAAAATTATATATTTTTTGAAGAGAAAAAAAATTTTTGATTGAAATTACTTATACTTAAGGGAGTTCCGCAGAAGACTTATATCAGTATTGTCATTGAGTACCTTTATATTATGTAGTATACGTGTATTAACGAGGAATTATAGTCCTTTTTTTGATAAATGTGTTTTAAATTTTAGGGAAATCCAACCAATTATCAAAGAAAGAAAATATAAGTTCAATAAAAAATAAAAACACTGCTAAGAAGAGTTTGATTTTATAAAGTTCTGTAAGATTTACAAATAAAAAAAAATAGGAGAGTTGAAAATTAAAGCTGAAGTTTTTCACATTATATTCCTAACTTTCACTGATGAAAATGATTATTCAATTTTGATTGTTGAAAAGCACTTAATTAAGCTGACAGTCATATGTTCTGAATATGGTTTTAGAGACGTAAAACTTTGAAAGATACTTAGCTCACACAGGGCTAGCTTCCAAACTAAAAATCTTATGTAACAATTGTTATTATAGTAACATTTTTATTACTTCTAAAGAATGTTAAAAAATACTGAAACTCAATGGAGAAATTTATTTGAGGCAAAGGACACTAATATTTGATAGCACTTAGAGAAATAAGGAAAGAATAAAAGATAATTTATAATTTTACCTGATGCATGAATATGAATATGTACGGTTTATCTGAACCAAATAACAGCAACATTAATAAAGAGCTTAGCATTTTGGGAAAACATGAACACGTGTTACTGAATGATGTTGTTACAGCTTGTCATAACGCTATTATGCTTGTCACAACTGTGCATATAATGTCAAAACAATGTCGCCACTGTAATATAAAAAATGTAAGTCTCGAAAATCCTAAAAACGCAAATCTCAAATTGGAGCGTATATTAAGTAAATTAGAGTGCCCAAAAAATATTTTTGTCGAGATAAAAAACATTAGAAACTTGAGGGTTTTTTTGCAATTTCTCAGAATAATAATGGCACTGGTGTTTTACAGAAAATTTTAAATCTTTTTATCATTAGCGACGATATAATATATCGTTGCAACATTCAAATACATCCATACAACATTCAAATACATACATACCAACATGTTATGGTTTATAGCATTGCGTTAATAGCATAAAGATAAAAAAAGTTTATACGTCATATAATAAATGTGGCCGGCAGATAATGGAGATTAACTAATTTTGTATTTCGCGGACGCTAAAGCTCGTAAAGTAAAAACTTTAAAATATTTAAAAGTGAGTTTTAATTATTTATATAAGTCTTAATTAGTTTTATAAATTGATAAAAAATTTACTTTTCAAATGTCAACACATGTGGATTGGTTTAATTTTTGAAATAAAATCAATCAATCGAGAATCCGAACCATTTGATCTACTTGGTAAACTTAAACCTTAAATGAACTTAATTTGAAGTAACTCGTTCTCATCTCGTTACTCTAATGTAAGTTCAGAAAGAAAAAAAAAGAATTAATTTATTCAAATTATGCTTAAATTTGTTGTAAAAATAATTGCTCAAATTCTTTTCTCTAAAAAGGAGTCTGTAGTTCAGTTATTTTATTAACATAATTATTATTTTTACTGAACGTAATATTTATTTTTGACAAAAAAAAAGTTTTATTTCAATAATGGTGTATATAATAGTTAAAATATTAATTTCATTTACTTTAAACGTAAAAAGTTTTAGACTAATTTTGAAACGAAGTTAGTTTTGTTTAAGCTCAGCTTGGATATTTATATGTTTGTTGTTTTTATTTTTATTTATACATTTATATTCAGTCTTTGTTTGTAAAATTAAAAATATGTCACTTAAACTATATCACTATACTTGTAATTAATATTGATATGAAAATTTAGTAAATAATTAATAATTTTTTTCAAATTTTTAGTATTTAATTTAAAAAATGGATCCATCTTTAATGAAAGATTTAAATGCTTTTAAAAAAAGAAGTCTTAATCAACCTGCAGTTGAATCTAAAAAGCAAGTTTTAAATACAGCAATCATAGAATCAGTTCGAAAGCCAAAGAAGCGGCGTCGACCTGAACTTCCTCCACAGTTATTGCAGCAATCAAAAAAACAGGCTGCAAATCAAGCTTTTAACTATAAAACTCATACTCAGATAAGAACAAAAAGTCGTTTTTCAATTTTATCAAGTATTGTTGATTTAGTGAAAAATCGCTATCAAAACAAAGAATTTGAGCCACTGACTTTAGATGAATTATTAGATCTTACAAAAAACACTGATATCAAGTCCTATGATAAAGAGTGGTTAGCAGATGAATCATTAAAAAATAATCCTAAAATTTTGTTTAAAGATGATAAGTATTCTTTCAAACCTAAATATGCCTTACGTGACAAAAAATCTCTTATTCGCTTGCTCGAAAAGCATGATCAATCTGGGTTAGGTGGGGTTTTATTGGATGATGTTCGGGAAGGTTTACCAAATGCTGATGAAATCGTCAAGTCGATAAGTGATAAGATCATGTTTGTTACACGTAGTAATGACAAGAAAGCCATTCTCTTTTATTATGATTCTAGCTATGCTGTTCATGTAGATGAGGAAAATCAAAAACATTGGAGGAGTGTAGCAGTTGAGGGATTAGCAGAGCCAGACATCGAAAAATACCTTAGCAATTGTGGAATAAGTACTATGACAGGGGTTTCCTCTGCATTACAAAAGCGCCCAGAAAAGCGCAAAGGGGGTAAAAGAAAGAAAAACATGAGATTATTAAACTCCCACTTGGTTGGTGATGTTTTAAAAGATTATTCAGAGCCATCAAAATAGGTTTTAGTGTAAAAGTCAATATTATCAGCTTACTATTATTTTTAAGATTTCATTTGTATTTATGATAGTATAAATGTCATTGATTATTATATTTTTAAAATAATGTTAACTTATTAACATTATTTTAAAAATACACATAAGATACATAGAAATATTGATATAAAAAAATATAACAACCGTACTGATATAGACATACCTATGACAACTATATCTATAGAAGCGAAATATCATTACTCGATCAACTTTTTGTAATATTTATGAATGATAAAACTTTCTTATTTATAAAAGCATTATTAAAACATATATTAAAGATTTTTTTTAAATGTATAAGTATGAACTAAACTTTATGCTCTAAATAAAATGATCTGAAAAGAACACATCTGTTTACTTTTAATTTATTAACTAATAAATTTTGCATGAGGTTATTTATTCTTAAATGGTCCAGATTTACTTTTTAATTATTAAAAAATAAAAGCTGTTTACTTTTTTAAATGTTTTTTTTTCAAATGATTACATTAATTTTTAGGCTCTTTTGTTAAAAAGTCTATATGGTTCTATAAGGTTTTAGAAAGAAAAAAATACAAAATTTAAAAACTAAAAAATAATTAAAAAATAATGATAAAATAGCTATTAACTGATTTGTTTCAATTTTACGGAGGACCAACTTTTTTTTCTTTTCGTTAAACTCGAACTTTTTGACTTTGGTTTCTAGGTATTAAAAGGTTTAAGCATATTTCTCTTTCATAGTTGTTTTATCATTTGCAGAATATATTTATTTGAATTTAGTTTAAAGAATTATATTTATTTCTTTAAAGAAGAAAAACAAATTTGTTACGTTTTTTGATTTTTTGTTATTGTTGTTGTTAACTTTTACTGTTAATGATTTGGATTAAAAGTCTGCATGTTTTGGTCCGATGAATAAAAGTCTAGCTTTGCTTTTTTTTTTTTTTGGCTTTTTTTTTAGAGGATTAATGTCTTCTTTCTTGATAAAAAAAGTTTATTACAGCGCTTTAACCTAAAAAGGCAATGTGTTAACCTAAAAAGTAATGTTAACCTAAAAAGATATTTGGAGTTAGCAGACTTTTTTGTGTTTTAAAGAAGTTTTGACTCTTCTGAAAAACTTACTGATACAGCAATCAAATGACACTGTCAGGTTAAATAAGGTTTTAGACCGATTTCAATGTTTTCAATAGTTGTTCATATGGGTTGTTATAACATATTTTGCGTTCCCTAGGCAGTTTCTTAACTGTATGCAATTAAACTATGCATCAAATACTTTAATTTTTAGCATTATAATTATACATTAGCCAGTATCAAAAGCTTAAACTGAGTAAACGTAATATCTGTCTCTGTCCCTCCAGATAAAAAAATATATGCTGGTTCTATTATTCTTACAATAAAATTTAATTGTCAAAATCTGCAAAACTGTCAAATGCTTTGTAAAAACAGGGCCAACGACACGGATTCCGAAGTGGAAGGACACCATCGTCAATTTCCAAAAAAGTCCTCTAAATCTTGAATTTTCTAAATAAAAAAAAAAGTTCCTTTCGAAAAAAAGATTGCCCCATGTGCCCCCCTCCCTTGCGGCGTTGGCCCTTAAAAATAATTTCTGCTGACTAATTACTGTCGTCCCGAAATACGAAGTGACTGCAAAAATGCGATAAAAAAGTTTGAAAAAGAACAGACCGGCAAAAAAACATTTTAAATGACATTATTAGGAGAAAAGCCATTCTCAAAAAAACACTTTAAATGACATTATTAGGAGAAAAGCCAAATCTCCATTATTAGGAGAAAAATATTCGTTGGTTTTGTGATAATTTTGAATTTGCAATTTAAAGCGTGACTAACTGACAATCATAAATGTCCTCCTCCTCAAATTTCAAACGGTTAGTTTTATTCTGTTGACTTAGGTATAGATATTAAAATTGCCAAGTATTCGAATATGAATTTTCGCACGTCGTGTAAATTGTCATAACCGCCCCATCATATCCGTCTTCCTAATATCATAGCCGTCTTAAAGAGTTATAAACCACCGCAAGCAATAATCATCTTTTTTAATAAATGATATTACAATGAAATTACAATTCTGATTGTATGAAGCCTTTCTTTTCTCCTAATTAAAGCATTAAAAAACAAGAAACTTTATGCTCTAGGCAGTAAGCCTACATCATAGCTAAGTACAATTTTTTTTTACATTTTATCATAGTTGGTAATAAAAATATTTAAATAACTAAACAAAAAATATAAAAATATGACAGGAATGATAAAAAAGACGTTGCTTTAGCACGTAAGTAGCTAATATTGGACCAAAAATGATATAAGAGCATGTTTTACTCGGATTGTGTTACGTTGGGACACTCTCAACAAGAGTTAGCAACCCTTTATAATAGTCTAACGTTATAAACGCCTTACGTAGCTTAATCTTTTGTGTTGAACTAGCATATGTGGGTGCTTACGGATTAACGTTGGCAATGTGCATTTTTACTTGATAATCAACTTGTAATTTTTGATAAGTCACTTCATCCAGAAGATAAAAATAAAGCATACTACTTGCTTTTACAATAATAACTTTACCAGCTATTTAGATTTTTCAGAATGAAGAAACAGAATAATTTAAATAATTTATAACAAATGCCTCAAAGTTTCTAAATTTAATAAATGTTTAGTTCGTAATAACTAACGAGTAGCAGATATTAAGCAACGACTATAGTAGTGAATAGTTTTAAAAACAGTTGTTTTGGGTGACATTTTGGGTGAAACCTTTATTTTTAATAAACTTAGCTAACTACATTGGTTGGCAAGTTAAGATTGGCAAATATCTTAAATTTCAAACTCACATATGTTTACATTAAGTAAATAAACATCTGAAATTATTAAAATCTGCATTCAAATGCTTTGCATCACCTAATGATCCAATTATGCAAATTGATGCAAAAATATATCAACATTTTTATTTTCACGCCAACTTGATTCAAGTTATAACAGTTAGGTAGTTGCGAATCTTTAATAGGCTTTTTTAAACTTTTGACCTTTGAATGCATTTTCCCCCAGATATCTAATGAACCCTGACTAGAAATCTAATGAACCCTAACCAGATACCTAATGAACCCTAACCAGATATGTAATGAACTTTTATAAAAATATTTTAAAATATTTTTTGTTTGACGATAACTTGCAAAAAATATGCCATCTGATGAAATGTAGTTTATATTTTGAATTTCTACAATAGTAGGATCTTCTTTACAAAATTTTATTCATATGTAAAAATATGTTTAAAATTTATATAAACGTATACAGTATATAAAAACAAGTATAAAATTTATATAATTGTATACAGTGTATAAAAGTTTATCTAAAATTTATGCATGCGTATAAGGTATATGAACTTATGTAAGCGTATACAGTATATAAACTTGTACGTTATTATACACTATTACTTATGCATTACTTATATAAGCATATACAGAACATAAAACATATTAAAAAGTTAAGATAAAAGAAAAATACATAGTAACCTATACTTAATAGTAACTCAAAATAAAGTATTTCAGTTGAAATGAATTTTTTTTTCAAGTAATGTTTATAAAAATTTCAAAAATATTCTTCAGAAATATTAATTAGACAAATATAAAAATAAAAAAATGCAAATTTACGTTATTTACTGGTATTTTTCTTTTAACTGAATTGAGTCAAAGTAATTTGCATGTTTTTTAGATAGATATAATATTTTTTTCGTCAATTTTTTTGTTTACAAAATTGTTAGCGTAAAAAATTGACTGGAGCAAGCAGAAGAAGATGGTCTTATTATCTTGTTCCGTTAATGTCAGTTATATTTTACAATCAAAATCAATAAAATTTAAAATAAACACAAACTATAAGATATTTATAGCACACATATATAAATATATATATATATATATATATATATATATATATATATATATATATATATATATATATATATATATATATATATATATATATATATATATATATATATATATATATGTATAAATATAAAAACTCGTATAATTAAAATAGCCAAGTAAATGTATCTTTATAAATATAATTGTAAGTATTTTTATAAATATAACCATAAACATTTCCAGCTAACTGTGTTTATGAAAAAATGTTGAGAAGTGTAAAAGCTTTAAAGATAAGAGATTATTTCATTAATGTTGAGGTCAAGTAACTGTTGTTTAACAACGCGTTTAAAATGTTGAATCGAGTTTATCAATTTAATCTTTGTGAGAAATGATTTCTACAATTGTGGTCCTCTTCTAAATATTGAGAATTCGGCTTGTCTCAAAGACATTTTTGGAATATAATAATTCTGCATAGAAATATTTGTTTTGTATTTGTGATCAACAAGTTGGAAGTTTTATGCATAGCCCTTTTCGATATTTTATTTTCTAATAACTTGGAAATTTTATGCATAACCCTTTTCGATATTTTATTTTCTAATAACTTGGAAGTTTTATGCATAACCCTTTTAGATATTTTATTTTCTAATAACTTGAAGTTTCATTGTAGTATAAGACTTGTTTCCAATTGTTTATATAGTAAACTAAATCATTTAAATTTATACTTTTTATACCATAATTACTAAGTTTGTATAGAGGGATCTTGTGATCCAGTGTATCAAAAGCCTTTGATAAATCGATAAATACTCCGAATGTATATTGATGTCAAACGCATTCGAAATTTCGCTAACTAGCTTTAACTGCATGTTCATTTGAATGGTCTTTTTTAAATCCGTATTGGATATTAAAAATTGTAAATAAAGATTTACAGTAACGGATATTCAATAACATCATAAGCTTCTTTAACCACCTGAGAGTTTATGTCATCATGACCAGTACTCTTTTTTTGATTGTATTGTTTTAAACCCATTTCGAAGCTCTTCAGAAGATAATTTAAACTCGTCCAATACAAAGTCCACTTCTTTTAAATATTATTTAAATATCTTTTTACTTTGAGCAATTTTATTAGCCAGTGTGTTTCTGATGTTTGTAAAATAATTTTTTAAGCTATCAGCAATCTTCTT